ATCTAAAGATGTACAATGATCTCTACGAGCGGTTATTGGGTGGTTTGCACGGTTTTTTTCTTTTGATGGTTTTTTGAAAAAGTCCCCTCCATAGTTGCCTATAAGTCTTAGGCAGATTGGGTCGTTTTCTTTTCTTTTTGTTTTTTGGCGGGTGTATTAGGATTTTGTACCTATTGTTTTTTTTTTTTTTTAAATATTGGATTAGCAGTTAAACTTTTGTAACCTTAGCTACTTTTATCTATATTGTATAGACATTTAAATAGATATTTATAGATTTAAAAAGAACAACTGAACATAATACAAAGTCATGTTAATTTCTCCAAAACTGTTAATCTAAACCTAAGGCTATAAAAATTTTGAAAATGTAATGTTGTTAACTAATCACTAAAGGATCTAAAAGAATAGTTATTGGCATAAAGTTTTGAAGCTTATAATGTGGAAGAATTATGACAAAACACATACATAAATACACATACAAGAGGTGCACATGTAGATGCAAAGTAAATGAAAAGCCAATAAAATGAAATTAATTGCAGTGTACAGAGCATACGTTTCTAAAAAGCAACATTCAAGTCGATTAAATTCTGATCTAAAACATAAAATGCTAAACCAAATAGAGAATCAAGGTTTATATGCATATATATATATATATATATATGATAGGTTGTTGAGACGGTTTGAAACTATTTAAAATTATGTAAAAAATAATTATCCGTATGTGAGGGTGGATTGTACACGTGCTACTTAAAAATAAGGACGTTTGGTTAGAATATCGTTATAGTATTTTCTCTCATAAAAAAATACACGTAAATTAAAAATGATTCTAATTATATGATTCTAATCTATGAATTAAACGTCTTTTAAGATGATTATAACATGGACCCGCTCATAGCAGGCGGGCGGGGAGAGAATTGAATTGGTAGAGTGGTTTGCAGTTTTATTTGTGCACCCCTGCTTGAAACCACTAAATCACAATCAAATTTCATCGGTGTATTAACCCTTTTGATTATTAATGCCACTATATCATATGTTTTTACTCCCATATATGAATGTAAGTACAAAAGCATAACAAATTTCATCTGTAAATGAGCTTCTTTTCTTTTCTTTATATATATATATATATATATCTGAAAAATACATAGGAGAATTACTGACCACGATTAAAAATTAACTATGTCGACCTCGACAGAGTACAAAAAAAAAAAAAAAAAATCTTGGTTGAGTTTCCGGCTCAAACCAAGACTAATAATCTCTTATGCTTTTGCCATTAACTACAATGCTAAGTGATTACACTTGAATCCAAATCTGAAGCATAAATGATCCTAGAGTCCTTTTCTTTTCATTAACCGCTTCAGAAATTTATTCTATATACGACGAGGATAAATAACGAGATGATATCAATGATTTTTTTTTAATTAACCAAAAAATGATCATTAGTCTTTCATAAGACGAATAATTAAGAGCTTGTTTAGTTCGTTGATTTGAATTTTTAATTTGAGTTGAGATGTGATTTTATATGAGAGACTTTTACTGTAGTAAAAAAGTTAGATATGATTATTTATGAAAATTTTTTACTATAACAAAATTCGAATCAATAAAATGAACTGAACCTAAGTAAATGACTCACTGACACAAGAAAAGTTGAGGAATGAGGATAAATGCATAAAGCATCTTAAGATTTCAATTTATGGTTCAACGACTAGATGCTCGAGCACAAGGTAATCGTATCACAATTTACAAACCAATCAGTGAGCCACTCAAGAAAGACTGATTTTTCATGTGAAAACTGAGATGAATTATTTGTGAGTCCTAATTAAATCATCTGTATAACCCTCGTACTTGGATCTATTGCTTCTTCTTCTTCTTTTTTTTTTTAAAATTCTGAAAGTTAGATCTGTTGCTTGTTAATTATGATTATACAAAAACGAGTCTTTGTTTACAAGTAACTTGCACAGCTTGAAACGTGCAAACATATATTGATCGGGGAATCTATCCACACATGCATACAACATATACACAAATTATATATTCTTTAGTTAATAGATTAATAGATTTTATTGCACCATTACGTCTTACCATCAACCTCAATTTTTTTATTCCGTTTGCCGTTTTATACTTGACCCAAAAAAAAAAAAAAAAAAAAAAAAAAAACACCCGCAGATATCAAACCAAACGGAGCCTATTTAAATTCACGATATTCTATTATAAATGTATAAATAAAATATATAATTTATTTACATGTTACGTATAAATTATTTACATGTTCTACATGTTACATATAATTTATTTACATGTTTTACCATGAATCTATAACTTTAACTTGAGAATACAATATTTGGAAGAGAATTTGCGTAAAATTGATTATAGATTGTATCTTAATTTATTTTATTATCATATTAGTTGAAAAATATGCCTTTAAGGAGCCGAAGAATATAGTTAACTAAAACCAGAGCCCTCTTGAAAATGTAACATCGGAGTTAAAAAAAAAAAAGAAAATAAAATTTAACTTCGGATTACATAAAATGAATTTTAAATAGAAATGTAGTATGCTTCTTTCTATTTTTTTTTATTTTTCAACAACGTTAAAGAGAAAGAATAAATTTACTTACGTTTGGAGACATTTTAAATTTATGAGTTTCTCTAGTGGGATTAAAAAAAATAAATTATTAGTAATCTTTTACTTTTCAAGTATTAAATTTATACGAAAAAATATTTAAACTGCGTACTTTAATTTAAATGATTTTTAAAGTGCCAAACTCCTTTTAACCTACGAAACTCAAAAAGGAAGCCAGAGTACGGTAAGATGCATTTTCAGGTGCTAAAGAATCAACCAATTCTTTTGCTCTATTCGAGTTGTACAAATGGAAGCATCGAATCCAGCCAGCATGTTGCAATAAACAATTCACGAGAAAATACGTCTCACATTGGGTAATGACGTAGTTGACAAAATTTTAAAAATTATAATTATAATTTAAAACAAGGAGTCAAGGATATTTATATTTATATTTTTTACCTTCTATATTCGATTAATTTAGAAAGTCTACCATATCAAATATGTCCCATGAGGCCATAGGCCCATAGGACTACAATCAATATTTAAACGCATACATTTCTCCGACAACACATGATTTTAACCTTAAAAATTAGCAAATTACCTGTGAAGAAAAAAACAAAAAAAATTCTAAATAAATGACCTTAATGTACTCTTTTTTTTTTTTTTTTTTTTTTTTTTTTTTTTTTTATTTTTTCCGGGGGGGTTTTTTTTTTTTTTATTTTTTTTTTTCAGAATTTTTTTTAAGTTTCTCAGGTGGAGTCTCTCTATTTATAGAGTCAATTTATAATAATTAGATCTTGTCAAATCACATCAAATTAAAAATATGTAAAATAGATAGTTTTTAATCGATATCCAACTGTTAAAAATAAGGACTTTTTAATATTTTTTTCCGGAACTACAAAAAAACTATATTAAAAACTTACCTCACCACAATCCTCGTTTTTTATTTATTTTTCTAAATTTTTTTTTATTTTTTAAGGGTGTTTTGAGTATTTTAAATTTTAAAATTGAATTTTTTGATTGAGAAAATATATGAATTTGTGTGTTAAATATAATTTAATTATACATATTTGATGAGATAAAAAATGAGAATAATTTTTAAATGAACCTAAAATACAAAAAAGGTAAATAACCATAATAACAAGGTAACTTTTATGATAGAGGAGGCATTTGGCTGGGTTTTTCCGGCACTACAAAAAAACTATATTAAAAACTTACCTCACCACAATCCTCGTTTTTTATTTATTTTTCTAAATTTTTTTTATTTTTTAAGGGTGTTTTGAGTATTTTAAATTTTAAAATTGAATTTTTTGATCGAGAAAATATATGAATTTGTGTGTTAAATATAATTTAATTATACATATTTGATGAGATAAAAAATGAGAATAATTTTTAAATGAACCTAAAATACAAAAAAGGTAAATAACCATAATAACAAGGTAACTTTTATGATAGAGGAGGCATTTGGCTGGGTACTGTTATTTTAACTGCTACATTAATTTTTAAGGATCTAATATGCGAGTGTTCAGGTTTAAATTTTGAAGCGCGCGATGTAAAAATGCTTCAATCATTTAAATTGTTGAAAAGTTAATATAATGATCAAATTAATGGTGCCTACTAGAGGGATAAATAAGCAATTTGTACCATAACTTTTACCTAATAGTAGGAATGGCAATTTAGATAGCGACACGATCACGCGACTCAAAGTCCGCACGAAGTTAGTAGCTTTGAGTTTATTATAAATGGGTTTGGGTTTGACACGATTAATAAATGAGTTGGGTTATGGTTGACCTCCTAACACGGAGTGACACGAATTGACACGATTAACTATATGTGTCATATATAATTTAATGATATGTGATATAACATGAAAGTTTATATAACATATTAAATACAAATAATGTGAATTTTAATATTTGTATGTAAAATTCATTTATTTTTTTTTAAAGAAAAGACAAATTGATCAATAAACATGTTAAACATGTCTTGGCCGTGTTAAATAAGTCATTATTATATTAATTATTTATTCAATAAATTAATTTAAACGGATTATATGAGTTGACACGATTAACACAAATAATAAATGAGTCGTGTTTAGATTGATATTTTTAATACGTTTAATAAATGTATCATATTTAAATTGATATTTTTTGACACAATTAATAAATAAATTGATATAAATACGATCCACTAACACAAATTGCTACCCTTACCTAATATCAATAAAATTGAAGAGAAAAAATAACAGTAATTTTCAAAGAAAAATAACATTGTGGATAAGCATATTAGCCATCATAATTCATAGGACGGCGTTGTAATGATACAACGGAAATAATGCGAGATAAACGACGTCGTGTAAGTCTTATCCACATCGATGACGGCATCAATTTTGTCTTGTATATTTATGTGTTTCATTTAAAATACAATAGAAATTGGCGCACCAAAATCGAAACCCAGACCAGGAGAAGAATTAGGAAGGCCCTCGCGAATTTCTCTTCTCCGGAATCGGACCCTCCAAACGACAATCTTATCTCCGCCGTATGGGGTCGCCGGAGACCATTAATTCCGCTCGGAATTTGGCCGTCATGGTCAGAGTCCAAGGCCCTGTAAGTCTTTCTCTCTCTCTCTCTCCTGTTCGCGTAAATCTCCTCTCGATTTATCACCAACTATTACCGAAGCTTCTTCTATTTTCAGGACCCAAAGGGCCTCAAAATGCGAAGCCACGCTTTCCACCACTATCAGTGAGTCAAATTAGTTATATATATGTACACACACACACACACACACACACATATATATACACATACATATGTTTGTTATTGATTCTTTTGTGTGTGTTTTAGCTCCGGGAGAACAACTCTGTCAGCTTCAGGAATGCTGTTGCCTCGTTCCCTTTACGATTCCGATACTGCCAAGGATATATCCGTTCCTGCTGTGCAGATTGACATTATGTTTGAGGTACATGCACAAACATATATATGTATATTTATATAATATATGTTCAATGTATCTCTCTCAAGTATCCATATCTAATGTTAGGGTATGAACGATTAAGATTTAAGTAAGTTGTTTTGGTTTTACAGAAGGGGATGTGGTTGGAAAACGATTCTGAAGATTTGGGTAAGGGAGCTTCTCGTTGGCATGCTGCAAAGTGTTTAAAACTAGTACGCACTTCATTACTCCTTTTGTTTGGATTGGCTATTGATTGAATGATTGGGCACGTAAAATTTTTCAAGCTCTCATAAGATTTATGAATGTGGGGCTATTGAGAACAGCGCTTAACGCGTTTCTTAATTCGTACTTATGAATGAGATGAGAGAATTATTTCAAGGATTTTATGCTGAGAAGAGAGCTGTAGGAGCTATAAACACGTGAAACATATGGAGGCAAATAACGTCAAATAATTTCGCTTTATATAGAAAAAGTAGCATTGCTTGAAATTTTGAAACTGAACCCATACATTTATATTTGAAGCTGTTATTATTTTAGGACCCGTTTAGTTCGTTGATTCGACTTTTTAATTCGAGTTGAGATGTGATTTTATATGAGAGCTTTTTACTGTAACAAAAAAGTTAGATGTGACTATTTTTGAGAGTTTTTTGCTGTAACAAAACTCGAATTCTAAACTCGAATCGGTGAAATGAACGGGGCCTTAATCTTCTAAAGTTCTTTTTTTCAGATGATATGCAAATGAAAAAAGCTAATGATCTTTATGGAAAAACAAACTGATCTTAAACTTTTTTGTAACATTTATAGCAAGGGAGATGAGACTATAATACTGTGGATTGTCTTAAAGATTTTGGTCTTTGATACTTGATTTGATAAGTTATGCTTAATGGTAATGTGTATAAATGTTTGCTCGTAATACAGATTGATGTTCCTGCGTCTGCCCGTGCACTCCAATCACTTGTTGAAGCTTCTTTTGGCTCCGTGGAGCATGGATGGGAGGTTGGTTGGTCGTTAGCCTCACTCTATAATGGTTCTCAGTCTCTTAAAGGTGTTACCCAGACACAGGTTAGATTGGGACCTGGTTTTTTATTTTTTGTTTTATACTCTCTATTTCTAACTTTCTAGAAACATTTATTGTGTAAAAGCAGGAGTTATTTCTTTGTAAAGAAACTCAAAGGAGTGAAAAAAAAAAAGTATGCCGTTGGTTACTGTTTTCCAATGCTATTTTATTTGTTTGTCATGAAATGCTGCATCAGTACATATTTTTGAATTGAATTGTTGTTCTTTCTGTTTCGACATGTCAAAGCCTTTTTTTTCCCCTTTGTTTTTGAAAGGGCATAATTTGTTAATTGATCTCTTCACATTGAGATTGAGTGTCTGTCACAATCTGAAAACCAGGTGCATCTGGCAGAGTCAGGCAATGTAAGTGATATGGGCAGGTCGACTACTAGAATTGCTATTCTGGGAGTTTCTTTATTTCCTAAGGTAAACTTTGTGCTCTTACCTTTCATAGAACTGTTATCCTATGTGCCGAAGATCAATAATGAAAAAAATGACAGCAACACTGCTTGACATGTTGCAATGTAATTATTTATTAGCGGGGTTTTTATACATACAGGATGTGCCGAAGATCAATATATCACCTTCCAATAGACAAGGGGATTTTATGCTTGCCGTGGGATCTCCTTTTGGTATCCTTTCACCCATGCACTTCTTTAATAGGTACTATATTATGTCTCTGAAACATAATTTATCTTTGAGCAAAACTTACGTAGGCACTTGAATATCTTCTTATAAGTATGTGTCTGACCTCTCCTCCCTTCTTTCGAATCCGGTTATGATGGAGTATAGCAGTTTGTCATTTTGATGTTTCATTTTATCTTCTGGCTGCTTAAAATTAGTATATCAGTGGGATCCATTGCCAACTGCTATCCTTCCTGTTCATCTTCCAAATCATTGCTGATGGCTGATATACGATGTCTTCCTGGTGTGAGCAATATTCTGTTGAATTATAGATTTTCTTTTGTACCTATGGACTTCTGATACTATATCTAAACAGTCTAAATCTATCAGGGTCAGAAGGTGGTCCAGTTTTTGATGAGCAGGGACAACTTATTGGTATCATGATGAGGCCAGTAAGGCAGAAAAGTAGTGGTGCGGAAGTTCAGGTGAAGTTTTAGAACATCTGTCTCCAATTTCTTGTTGTGCAAAGTTTCTCCTAGTTAACACATCATGCAAAACTATAGTGTTGGGTAACAGCTGGTGATTCCATGGGAAGCGGTCGTTACTGCTAGCAGTGGCTTGTTACAGAAGGAACCTCAAATTTCAGAAAAAGTAACTTATTACGACGGGGGAAAGTTAGATGCAAACAGCCGTGTCCCAGATGGACTCGTCCAACGTCTAAATTCTTGTTGCCCCTCCCCTTTACCAGTTGACAAGGCAGTTGCTTCTGTTTGTCTTATTACCGTTGATGATGGAGTATGGGCATCAGGTGTTTTGCTCAATAATCAAGGCCTCATACTCACAAATGCTCATCTACTCGAACCATGGAGATTTCGGAAAAGAAATGCAGATCCTTTTATAGGTGGTGAGCCTGGGGGACATAAATGGAGTTCCTCTTACACAAGCAGTAGAAATATACGTGTTCGCCTGGATCACAGGGATCCCTGGATCTGGTGTGATGCTAAAGTAGTATATGTTTGTAAAGGTCCTTTGGATGTTGCCCTACTGCAGCTTAAGTCTGTTCCAGATCAGCTTTGTCCAATCATCATGGACTTTTCAAGGCCACCCGTTGGATCCAAGGCTTATGTTGTGGGCCACGGATTATTTGGACCAAGATGTGGTGTGAACCCTATCACCCGCGCTTTTTATGTTTTTTGTTTTCAGCAGGATGTCAAAAAAAGAATTATTCCTAATATTTACATAATATTGCTAAATTAGTGCCAACATTTTTCTTTGTTAGATTATGGGATAATATAGATGGTTATTAATTAAGTCGATGTTTACTTTCCTAATATTTCCATCTGAATGTCACCTTCCTTTAATATTTCTATTTGAATTAAGAGCTACTTTTAACTGTCAATTTTTCGTTTTAGTTAACCCTTGAATATTTTTGTCTCTGATGCGGCTCTACATTTTCCATTAGGCTTCTTCCCATCAGTTTGCTCTGGTGTGGTAGCGAAAGTTGTCGAAGCAAACCTTCCCTTCTCTTATCGACTCAGTGAACCGGGAAATACTGAAGGGCATTTTCCAGTGATGCTTGAAACAACAGCTGCTGTCCATCCTGGTGGCAGTGGTGGTGCTGTCGTAAATTCAAATGGTCATATGATTGGACTCGTTACAAGGTATGACAAGGTAGATTTGTTCACATGCAATTCACCATTGGAAGTTGTATTTGCCATTGAAAATGCCTTATTCTACTTTTATCATACTCATGTTCAATCTCCCAAAAAAAAAAAAGGAAGAGAGAGAGAGAGAGAGAGAGAGAGAGAGAGAGAGAGAGAAGACAAAGTCACCAATCCATCTGCCGAGGAAAGAGGTTATGATCCACATGCATGTGAACTGCTCCGATCTTTGTCCTGTTGCTATCAGAATCACATGAAGCACTAGGACAAACATCATCAAGTAATAATCACATCAATAATTATTCTATATTGGATGTTTTCCATATCTAATGGGATATTTTCTTGACACAGCAATGCAAGGCATGGTGGAGGAACAGTCATTCCACATTTGAACTTCAGCATTCCGTGTTTGGCTCTGATGCCCATCTTTAAGTTCTCAAAAGGTTGGTCAGCTAAGTGTTGTTTTGTTTTTGTTCTTTTTACTGGCTATGAAAATTAGGTGAGAATTATAATGCATTGATATCAGCAGATAAAAGAATAAGCAGTTATTCAGTTGCACAAGTGGTTGTGTTTAGTTGGAGCTAATGACTTTGCTTTTCCGCCAAGCAGACATGCAAGATATTTCACTGCTAGACACTCTTGACCAACCAAACGAACACCTTTCATCTGTTTGGGCGTTGATGCCGCCGCTATCTCCGAAGCCCCCTCCTTTGCCAGTCCTGCCGCATTCACTTCTGGAAGACAACAAAAATAAAGAAGCCAAAGGATCCCGTTTTGCCAAATTTATAGCTGAAAGACAGGATGTGCTCAAGAAGCCGACCCAATTTGCCAACTCAGCAACGCTGCCCAATGACACAGTCCGCAGCAAGTTATGACCGTCGATTTTCTTGTCCTAAAACAGACTGTTGTTTCAGTATAACTGACATCAAGTTCCACTGCACCATCTCGTTCAGTGTTTGATCTGGCTTCCATTCACTGATCACCACCGGATGAAGAACCTGTGCCTTGGATGTTGGATGTTTGATGGAAATAAAAGAGAAGAAAAAGTTGTGTTCTGCTGTTATATTCTATACCAGTAACACAGGGTTCAATTTTCTTGAAAGAAAGCATGAGGACATGACAACTAAAAACCTTTGGTCAGAGCCAAAGATGTGTGAATAATTTTTTTCCCCATGCTAAATAATCGTAAGCCCTGTGTCTGCTTTACATCTTTGTTTCACTTGGCTGTCCATGAGAGCATTTGTGAAAAGGTGCAATAAAAAAACTTCCTTTGCATTTTTTGGATATTCAAGTGCTAGAGATGGTTGCCGTTTTCTATGAGTAGTTTTTTTGGGGGTAAAATTTATGAATAGATTAGTTTGACACTAACTAGAAGTGCTTTTAGGGCTATGGATCACGACACAACAACACGATTTTAAAATGATACGAATTTCACGGGTTAAGGTTGAGAAAAAGGAGATTCAGGTCAGATTGGATCGACTTGAAATTGACACGAAAAACACGGGTCAATTTCGGGTTGGACCTCGCCTAACCCGAACACGATACGAAACTCGTAAAAAACTAAAAAATACATATATTTTTCATTACATATTTTTGATTTTATTATGAACTTGTGATATCATGATAGTTATACTCAAAATCTTATACTATTATTTGCTTAATTTCAATGGATGTTATTATATTTTAGTGTGTTATGAATTTTAAGTTAGTTTTAATATGTAAAAAATTAAATAAAAGTATACAATTTTCGTGTCAATTTTAGGTTCACGGGTCAATTTCGTGTCAACCCATAAAGTGGTCGTGTTGTGATTTTTAAAAAATTTCATGACGGGTTGTGTTTGGGTTGACCGTAAATTTAAAAAAAAAAGATCAAAACACGACACAAATACGAATTGCCACCCCCTGTGCTTCCATGCTAGTTCCACTTGCTTCTTTTTTTTTTGGATTTTTTGGGTTTTGATTTTTTTTTTTAATTTATAAATTTATCTTAAAGTGACATGATGATGGTAATTTAGAGATGCAACAATGGGTTGGAGCCTATGGGCTGGCCCAGGCCCATCCCGACACAGTAAGGGCTGGGCTGACACGGCCCGTCACTGTTTAAGACACGACCCAGCCTATAAATATTATAGGTTGGGCTGAGCCAACATATAAGCCCGTGTAAGGCCCATATAGGCCCACAATGGGGGAAGCTAACAAGTTCAAGATGATTGGGTTGATGACTTAAAAAATTTAAACATTTCCGATACTCCCACTGGGAGTAATACGATATAATTATGACCAATATTTATTTTTTTTATGTTTTTTTTCTTTTTTTTAAGTAATTTGTAAACATCGTATGTATAATTATCTTGATTGTATTCTTTTTTCCTTACTAAGATTTTATCCCACTGGGTTTTCCTTGGAAAGGTTTTTAATGAGGCAATTGTAAATAAAATATCATTTTTCATATTTCCATTGACTATTCAAATTTTTATATTTGTTAACGTGTTTAAAAATTCAAAAATAAAAATTAAAAATTACATGCTTAGATGAGCTGGCTCATCTAAACTCATGATGTGCCAAGATGGGCCTTGAATAGGCGGCCCATCCTAACTCACGGCACGGCCCAGCCTGGCCCACGTAAAATTGGCCTGTGGTGTGGGCTGGGCTGAGGTAATTCTTATACGAGCCGACCCTGCTCACAGCCCAAGTGGGCCTAAGGAGAACGGGCCGGCACGTTCTTACATCTCTAAATAGTATTGTCATGTTCTTATCAGAGTTACGGAGTATCTGTGCCTAAATTAATGGAAATTATAAATCAATTGACAAAGTAGCTGCCCTATTAGTTGACGGCTGATTTGATAAAATTATTAGGACAATCTGGGGTAATGTAAAAAAAAAAAAAAAAGTTCAAGGTTTAAATTAGGGGTGTGCAAACCAACTAAATTGTTTATTTTAGGTGAAATGCAAACTAAATCAATTACAAATTGGTTTAGAGATTTTCAAACCTAACCAAACTAATGATCTAATCCAATACAAACTAAACCAATTGTAATTGATTTGGTTTGTTTTTCTAATTGATTTGAACTAATATTTTTTAATCTCTTCTCAAACCTCAACCGTAACTGGTATTCATATTTTTCCATTATATATGTTATGATAAAAACTTACAAGGTTATGATGATTTAGTTTTGAGAATAAACGTATTTTTTTAAATATAAATACCTTACAAATATATAAAATATATATACCTTTAGGAAAATATATGTAATAGAATTAATTTGGTTTGGTTTAGTTTTTTTAAGAGTAAAACTACAAACTAAATTAATTTAATTGGTTTTTTAAAAATTTAAATTAAACTGAACCGATATCAATGAGTTTAGTTTGATTTTTTTTGGATTTGGTTTGAATGATATGAATAGTTTATTGCACACCCTAGTTTAAATTATGACTATCGGTAATATATATATATATATATATATTTCTCTCTTACCCTTTTTGAAGAATTCTCCAAAATTCCAAGTTATTGTTGGTTTAAACAATTTTAAAATCAGGGGTCGAAATGCTATTTAACTTACAGCTTGGGTTCAAAAATGAGTTTTAGAAAAATAAACAACACTTTTGTCTTTTCTTTCCTATTCCGTTTCTTTTTCTTTTCCAGTATTTATAAAATTAGGCGATAGCACGCATCGGCCGTCCATTCGGGCCTCTCTCTTTGTGCACAGACTACAGAAAAAGCTACAGAAAAGCTTCTTTCTTCACACACAGAGAGAATGATAGTCGGCGACAAATAGAGAGACCCCAAATGGGGGAAACTCCCGTTTACAAGGAATACGTGGCGGGCTTGCTTGCCGGCGTCGCCACCGTCGCCACCGGCCACCCTTTCGACACCGTCAAGGTATTTTTCTTTTAATTAATTATGCCCCTCGCAATCTCAATGATTATATTCATCCATATGTATTTGCGGTCAGTGCTGCATTTATTATTATTATTTTTTGTTGTAAATTTCCTTTATTTTTATTAAATTTTATACTAGCAAAAAAAAAAAAAATCAAAAGTTTTAATTTACTAATGACTGTGGAACGACGGCTTTAGAACAACGGGGTGTTTGTTATTCATAAAAATGAAAAAGGTCATTTCGCTAATTTCACTTAGTCACTGCAGCGAATTTCTCCTTTTATATTCAAGAATCTGGTTCTGCTTATGGTTAGTTGACCTTTATGGATTAGCTTCATCGTAGGGAGATACATTGTTGGTTATTCTGTTACTGTGCCGTTTTTAGAGCTTGTTTGGTAAGATGGAAAAGTGGAAGGAAGGAGAGTACGGGGGATTAGTGGAAGGATTTTGGTACTCATAGTTATTTGGTAGGAGAGAAAAGAGGAGGAAATGAATTGGGTGAGGGATTTCAAATCCTTCTAAGTACCCCATTTTCATATCTCCAAATGTAAATATGGGCATATTAGAGAACCAAATCCATACCGCCAATATGAGAAAGGTTGACTTTTTTTTTTCCTTCTTTTTTTTCCTCACCTAGATTTTATGTCTCTCTTTCCCGTTTTGCGTAAAATTTTGAGAGGGAATGCCAAATGGGTGGCGGTGATTAAAGCTGCTTATAAATATCATGGATGAAAGTATGATATTGACCATTACATCTAAGATTTAACTTTGTGAACTGAAAATATACATCCCTTTCTGTATACATGTGCTGTTGCTCTGGTTTATATAATTTTCCTAGGTCTGTAACATTTGTTCATTTTCTTTAGGTGAAGCTCCAAAAACACAATACTGAAGCACATGGGATCAAATACAGGAGTGCTTTGCATTGTACTGCAAGGATACTAAGCACTGAAGGAGTATGGTTCTCAACTTTCTTTAAGCAATCATTTCATATGGATGAAGCAGTGATATTGTACTCCATTGTACATATTATTGTTGATGAACACATACACATGTTTTTCTGGGTAATTTAGTCAACAAGACTTGCAAATGCAAAAAATGGAGCTGTAGGCTGTAGCTCACGGATATTCTCTCTTTTGCATTTTATTTCGGTAGGCATGAGTCATGACTAGATGAATGCCTGACATCTGGAATTGTTAGTGTCATAAAGATTTAAGTTTCTCTAAAATGTGAAATAGTAACTCGTTTCCTCTTTTTCTGGAATTTTTTTGCACCCTTCTACCCGAGTGCCCAGAAAACTACTACGTTACTAACTTAAATCGGGTTTTGACAGATAAGGGGACTCTATAGAGGAGCTACGTCGTCTTTTGTGGGGGTGGCTTTTGAGAGCTCCCTTGTCTTTGGCATTTATTCCCAGATGAAACAGAAACTTCAGGTATAACGGAATGACATTAGTCAAGTATAGCTTGGTTTTGCCTTAGCTTTTCATATATTTTCTGCTTTTGGTCATTGATACGCGGTGTGTAGCGGCAACTTTTAATTGTTTGATCATTGGATTTTTTCTTCTGAGTTAAACTACAGATTTTCTTATCTTTTATTTTTTCCGCTTGTGAAGGGAAGTTTGCAGAGCAGTAGGCCACAACCTCAAGTAATAATTCCATCTGCTGCTTATGGAGGAGCTATAATCAGTTTTATTTTGTGTCCATCAGAGCTGGTGAAGGTAAATTAAGATCATATTGTTTTAAAATTTGCAATCGCTTCTCATAGTATGCTTATGGGATTTTGCTCTTCAGTGTAGGATGCAAGTTCAGGGCACTGATTCAACGGTCCCACTATCCAGCAGATACAGTGGTCCTCTTGATTGTGCCGTTAAAACTGTAAAAAGTGAAGGGGTGAGAAAAACCTCTACTCTCTTACAACCTAATCTACGATATACTTTTGAGCTAATGGCAAAACCCTTCTTCCAGGTTAAGGGAATTTTCTGCGGTGGTTTTGCAACATTGCTGAGAGAGTCTTTAGGAAATGCAGTATTTTTTAGCGTCTATGAGTATACCCGCTATCACATGCATTCACAACTGAAATCTGCTTCATCTGATCGCAGCAACTTGGTTGACGTGGGAGTTGGAATCATGAGCGGCGGTCTTGGTGGCATTGCGGTATCATGTGTCTTCACTCCTCAGCATTTTCCCGAAAATAAAATCGAAAACTAGAAAATGGCCATAACCATTGCTTCACTAAAATTCTAACATATGATTGTTTTCCCTGCATATACTCCAGTTTTGGTCTGTTGTGCTGCCCTTGGATGTGGCTAAAACTATAATTCAAACAGCTCCAGATAAGAACTCGTTGCGAAATCCCTTTCGGATCTTGAATTCTGTAAGTTGTCTTCTGAAGTTTCCTTTCATTCCCTTTTGTTAAAAGTAGGTGAGTTACAAGAAAGAATAAGTAGTTAAGGGGATGTTTCGTTGGAGGATTCAAACCATGATTTGAATCATAATTCATGGTTTATTATAGTATTTTTTCTCACAAAAAATATACGTAAATAAAAAATGATTATAATTACATAATTCTAATCCATGAACCAACATCTCTTAATTATTTTTGCTTCTTGTTTTGTGGTAGATTTACAAGAGGGATGGAATAAAAGGATGCTATACAGGATTGGGTCCGACCATACTTCGGGCATTTCCGGCTAATGCCGCAGCCATAGTCACCTGGGAGCTAGCCATAAAACTACTAGGCCTCTGCCGGGAATAATTAGGACACTGTTATTTCTCCTATTCTCTCTTTAACAATTTTTAAGAGCGCCAAAATTGGTTTTTTTCCGGCTTAGAATCTCATGCACAACATGATTATTTAGTGGCTATTACTATTAGGCAAAGCCTAAATTTGGTCAGAGTCATCACAATCACAAAAATTTTCTTTTCCGGCGTCCGTACGAGGGATTCAGGGAATTTTGTTGTCATCAATTTTTTCTTTTAGTATAGACATTATTATCAGCAAATGGATCAATTTCGATAAAGAAATGTGTCAGGACAGCTTTTGCGCATTTTCTGGGTCTGTTCTTTACTGCCTTATTTCATTGGGATGCTCGCTTTCTCTATGTGTCTCTATATTTTTGTGTGTCTCTGTATACAAATACATATAAGTTTTGTTCACTTCACGAATTTAAATTTTTAATTTGAGTTGAGATATGATATTTTTTAAGAGTTTTTTATTGTAACAGAAAAAGTTAGATATGATATTTTTTGAGAGTTTTTTACTGTAAAAATTTAAAATTAAAAACTCAAATCGGTGAAATAAATAAAGTCATAATAATCTCTCTTTAAATAAATAAATAAATAATAAGTGAGTTTGAGTTGCACTCTTATACATGCTTCTCTACGTGATGATACAAGTTGCATTTAGCTTGCTATAGCTTTCCTCAAGTACTACTATTATGAATCAAGATCTGATGTCTCCTTTTTCTATTTTGGAGACTGTTTCTTTAATTAAATTTTAACATCTCAAAAATTGTTTAAATATTTTTAGTATTTTGTTTCCATTCGTATTGTTAGATTTTTAAATTTAAATAATACGGTAAATAAGTAGTGGAGAGATAGTTACCGAAATAGAAAAATGAGGATAGTAAATCTAGACTGCTACTACTACGGTATCTTTGCATTGTATCGTAATTTTACCAAGTGTATCGTTAATTTTTTTAATTTGTTTGTTTATGTTATCGGATTACACATCTCCATTAATAAGATTCGAGGGTTTCCTTTTTATTATCAAGTTGCATGTCATGACTTCTGTTATTCAGAGAAAAAAAAAAAAAAAAAAGTTGCATGTCATAATTAGTTACCGAAAAAGAAGTTGCAATATACTTTCATGATTGTTCTTCTAGCTGCACATTCCATAGTGAATCCATGTAGGAAAAAATAAAGTAAATTAATACAAGAAAATGACCGGAACCAATTAATTTAAGAAGCTTTATTAATACAGCACTCTTTGCGTGCTTCTTTACATGCTCTAATTCACTCCAACTTTCATTTTCCAACTGATAAAGAAAGAAGAAAGAAAAGGAGAGAAAAAATCAGTCCAATTTTCACACACACATGTACATGTACATATATTATCTAGCATAAACTTTTTACTAATACATAGCATAAACCTTTTAACACAAATCCCTCTTTTCCGTTTTATCCGGTCCCCCCACATCCATCCACCTCCTTTTTCACTTTAACAGAGAGAGTTCGCACAAATGACAAATGTATCTCAATTCTCTATTTTGTCATTCTCTCGTTTCAAACACGTTGTAAATTTCTACTTTTTCCACCCTTTTTAGTCACACACGCTTAAAACCGTATAGCATACTTGGTATAATTAAAATTATATTGGCAGTTTAAAGGAAATCCTCCCTACCGTAGAATTCTCTTTGTTTCTTCTAGAACTAAGGGATTTAAAATTTTGTACTTGTTTTGGTCCAGGCTTGTAATTAGCAAGCACTATATCCAACCGCGTGGATCACTAGAATTGCACGATCAATGATCCTGAACATTACATAAATGCCAATATATCTTTTCTTGCATGTGTATTTGTGTATGTATCATAAACAAAAATGCATGCTGCGAACTGTGTGTACTCTAGACTATAGTAGTGCCTGTTTAATGCATTTTCTTTGGAGTTTGATCAGCTTGTCTCAGAAAATATAACCATATATCATAGTACGTATATAGAGATCATCCAAAAAAAGCCATTACACTACCCTGAAATGGCACAAAGTAACATGAAGAAAAACAAACTATAGTGTGTGTATATATATATATATATATATATAGATACACACACAAATACCAAGTCATAATCAGACAACATAGAGACATACATGTAATGTAATTATATATTGGTCTTTAATACTCACCGCTGAAAGGATCTATAATAGCCATTTCAAAACATCCATAATTTTGAGGTTTGAGCTCTCAGCCCTGCTAAATTAGTTTTTTTGACAAGAAATTCCTGTTAATGGAAAACATTACATTATATACTTAAGAAACACACACACACACACACACACACACACATGATCAAAAAATATCATGTAGTAAATAGGATCTCAAATCATGGTCACAAACAAGGCACCATTAATTAGTGAAGCTAGCAGAATTAACCATGCCTAATAAACTGTTTGGCATAACAATAACAATCGTTTTGGTGATAACAGTGTCTCAAATCTTTGTCATCGGATACAAACATCTGAAGAGCAATACCCGCCGGTCGACCATATATATACACACACATATATATATGGTAATTAATTAAGGGTTGACAGAAGAGAGAGAGCAATCGCTCGGAGGACCACATAGGATCTTTATAATTGGTCAGAGTAATATCTAGTCATTAATGGGAAAAATAGCTAATTAATTCTCCCTCTAATGCTGTTGTTCTGCTTCTGATCATCATGCTGATACATAATTAAGGTATCCTTTAATTTTCTTAATCTGATGATCAGTTGGAGCCTTCTCTATGGAGGTCAGACGAGCTTTTCCTGCGTCGTTCGTTGTGACCGGCCAATCGCCTTCGACAACTCCTTTTAGTGTCATCAAACTCAGCTAGCCCATGGAACCTGAATTAATACACCATTTTGAAAACAAACAAACGATAATTGGTGTTAATAGAAAGAAAGATAAACTAACACTTTCTTCTTCTACTTCTTTTTTTCCCCTTCTCTGAGGGCCAACTAAAGGTTTTATTTTCTGATCATGATCTTCTCCATCTTGCTTATTTATTTTTTATTTTACCTTAGCTATAAATATTGGAATACCTACCTCCATAGATATAGCAACAATTAATGCTACGCAATTCATAATGAAGAAGAAGACTTCCATTTCATATCACGAAGTGTAGGCAGCTAGGGACGTATACTTTCTCACTTTTTCTTAGTATTCATATCGAGTACATAGAAAAGAAAGGAAGAGATCTCCCAAAAAAGAAGGAAAAAAAAAAAAAACAGAAGAAGAAGAAGAAGAGAAGAAAGATTGTTATATAAACTTAATAGAGTACTTAATATATGGTTCTCAATAAAAAAAAGAACTTGATATGTAGTCTGATGTGATATATCTTGGATATGTCACTATTATGTATGATGATTACGAAATGGATGCATTGGCAAAAAAAAAAAAAAAAAGGATTACGAAATGGTTGAGTACTAAGTCAATCAGAAAAATATATATCATGATGAGATGTAAAAAAAAAAAAAAAAATATATATATATATATATATATATGGACCTAAGTGGGGTTCTTGATGTGCCCCCTTTCTAAATGGCTGCATACTAGTTGCGTAAACCCTCAGCTATCTCACATGCACCAAGCGACCAACCCATTTATTGGAAGTGAAAAGAAAACTAACCCATTAGCCACTCATATATAGCTCCTCTAAACACAAGCTTTATTAGGTTGGACAAGACTAGTTAGGGTTCACTAGATTGGAGAAAGTGCAAACATTTGTGGTTCCCATTTGTAGAAAAGGGAAAAGATTTATAGAAAAAAAAAATGAATGGTTCAATGAATCATATAGTTCAGACACATGCATAACCCAGAAATAGAAACATGATCTAGCCCATCCATATATAGCCACTACAAAGAAAACATGTACCAAAACACAATTAGATCGAAGTAATTGTTGGGTATTTAGGAAATCAAAGAAAACATTTAAAATTCAGCAACAAAACCTGAACCAATCCAAAACATAAGCAAAACCCACCAACCATTTCAAGCCATATATACAACATACAAGTCATAACTAGCTAGAGAGAGAGAGAGAGAGAGAGAGAGAGAGAGAGAGAAATGACAGCTTTGAGCCGAAAATTCAAACTTTTATTGAGAGAAAATATTGCAGTAAAAAGATTTGAACTGCGATTTAAATTGTGAAAAAAGCATCCCATATGAAATTAGGGTTTTGATAACCTGCTACATTGCTGGCAAAAGCGTTGCTGGAGACCGTTGACGAGGACGACTGTGGCCTTGGCGTGGAACTCGCAGATCTTATGCCGACGGTGATATTGCTTGGAGTCGGTCAAGTCAACGCTACAATTGTCGGCCTGGCAGCTCGGCCTCGTGGACCCTCCCGCACCGGATCCTCCTCCTCTCCTTGCGGCCGTACCACTGGTCGAAGAAGCTGTAAAAACAGTACTACTACTACTACTAGTAGCCATGGCCGGTCTCTTCTTCCTCGTCACGTCGTCTCCAGCAAACCCTAGTCTCGAAACGTCGTCCTCTTCCTCTTCCTCTTCCTCCTCCTCTCCCTCCAGCTCCTCCATGCTCTTGCACTTCAGGCTTCTCTTTCCTCTGCTCGGTTCCATTAATTTCCCTAAGAGGAAGAGAAACAAATAAAAAAAGAGTACAAAAAAATGTGAAAAAATTTATGAAGCGATGACTGAAGAGAGAAGAAAGATGTAGGTAAATGTATTGCTGTATATATCTTGTTATGACTGAAGAAGACTCAAGTAGAAGAATAAAAGACCTTGTGGAGAAAAGAAAAAGGAAAGAAAAAAAAAAAAAAAAAAAAAAAAAAAAAAAAAAAAAAAAAGAAGAAGAATTATGTGTGAGGACCACATAGTCACCATTTTCCCCCCCTCCTGTTAGCGTTAAGGGTAACAGTACTGAAGGGTAGAAAGCTAATTAAGGTTTTTTTTTTTTTTTTTTTTTTTCCTTTTGATATTTTGTGTTTTTTCTTGGAAAAAAAAAAGAAAAGAAATATTTAAGGCTCCGAGACACCACAACCGCATTATTAGTATGAAAGACTACAAACAACAACAATAGCAACAAATTGTTTTCCTTATCCGGAGGCTGGTCTCTAGCTGGACAAAAGAGTATTAACTAAAAATTTTTAGCCCGTTTAGTTTGTTATTTTGAGTTTTTAATTTAAAGTGAGATATAATTTTATATGAGTATTTTTTACTATAGTAAAAAAGTTAAATGTGACTGTTTTTGAGAGTTTTTTACTGTAATAAAATTAAAATTTTAAACTCAAATTCATAAAATGAACGAGACCTTAATTTTTTAAAATATATAGGCTTTTTTTACTGTCTCTTCGTGAGAGTTTCTTTCTCCGTAATTTGTAGATATTAAAAATGTAACGTGATAATTATAAACGTAACATTAACATTAAAAAGGTGTTATTTTTCTTTAAAATTAATGTTACGTTTATTGATTATTATGTTACGTTTTTTTTCCTTAAATTACGTGTATGTTAGAGAGACTTCCCACTAGAGAATCGAAGGTGACGTCACATTATTTACATTAGTTAGTATGAACTTATTGGCTAAGGAGTCACGTCAGTTGAACAACGAATTTTTAAGAATTTGTAATAAGAGTCCAATTGGTAATTTTCTACCGATTTTACTCATCTCTCGCGGGTTAGTTTTCGCCAATGCTTTCTGTTGCACCATCGCTTTCTTTGTGGGGCTTCTCTCCAAGACTAACCCAATCATTCATCGAGAATAAAAGTTATTTCTTTTTTTTTTCCCTTTTTTAATAAGAGGAAAAAATACAAATTGTTGGACGAATAAGTTTAGTTTAACTTATATGTCACTTTGCTATTATTACAGACTCACAGTACAAGTAGGTGTTTAGCTATAAATATTATATATATATATACATATATATATATATATATTATATACTGCAAGGATAGATAGATGCATGTGGAAGTGGAACCTTTCTCACATATATTGACAGTCCTTTTCTTTGTTACAAGAAAAGAGAGAGAGAGAGGAAGGAGGGCAAGGGAAATTGGAAAACGATTCCTTGTGTTCAACATGTATTATTGAAAGGTGAAATGTGAAAAGCTAAGATAGGACCCCCAGTGATGTAACAGGCTTGGCCTATCATGGTTTGACACATAGTACCATTTTTGTCTATAATATATATATCTCGTGTCCTTGGATCAGAGGATAACATATACATACATATATACATATATATAAATATATAGTGTGTGCATATATCTATACAACTTTTGTCCTGTTTCTTAGTTTGTTTTGACCCTTATGCATTTTTGGTGTGGCCAACTGGTTTGCAGCAAAGTGGCCAATTATATCCTACGATTCACATTTATGTGTTTTTTCACATTATTATTGGTTGTTTTTAATTTGGGTTGGTCCCCATTTGTTAGGACTACTCAGGCCTGACGGCTTCTCCTTTAGAGCTGCTAATAGGTCGTCCTATCCTCTCTCTCTCTCTCTCTCTCTCTATATATATATATATATATATATCGTGGGGGGTGGGGCATACTTCGAGACGATCCGACGTTTTCAGCTTCAAATCTGTCTTTGGAGAGATACATCAAAGTGAATATATTGAGCTTCGCTGGTGGAGTCGACACGGCCCTTTCAATGGTGGCAGCATATAGCAGCAATATTTATCCATCACGTGTCAACAATATATATAAGGATATTGATGATATTGAAAGGGAAAAAAAAAAGGAGAAAGGACAAATTCTTTGAAATTAAAGAGACTCTCTGATTGGTTTGCCGATTCGAATAGAGGCGATTTGAACATTTTTTTTAATCCAAAATATAATATCTCAAGGTGCGATTCAAATTACAATTTGAATTGACGTTTAAATATATATTTTAAATATAAATTTAAATAGATAATAAAAATTTATATTTATATTTAAGTACATATTAAATATTATAAAAATGTGAGACGAGCGAATGAAAAATTTAAATATGAAAGATTTTTATTGTAGTTAATAGGTTTGAAATGTTCAAATTTGGGATGGAGGCTAGTGGGCAACTTGGGATTCTCCGATTTCAACTGGATTTTAAAATCCAAATGATCTCCCTATGTTAATTTGCTCCTAGTTTAAGTTGCATTCATGGTTCAAACCATGTACCAAATGAACACTAAAATCAAGAGTCTATAGATATATAGAGATAAGTAAGGTACGTTTGGAAACTAAATGAAATAAGTAGCTTATAAAAAAGTTAGAAATTGTTTTAGAATTGACCCTTGAAAATTAATGTGAAACTAATATCACCCTCTATGTTCAGTATTACCCTTTTTGTCTTTTAAATTTGTTTAAAATTCGTATAACAAACTGTAATTTTTATAGCAAAAAAAGAATAGAGAGAGAGAGAGTTCTCTAAATAAGATAAGATTTTAAACTATGTCATGGATTCAAAATCATAACTCAAAATTATTATTGTTTTACGTATATTTTTTGTGAAAAAAATATTGTAGCGAATCACGAACTATAATTCGAATCATGACACAAATCTCCCTTCTAAATACCTTGTAAATCTTCATTCACTATGAAACAAAGTATACGTTCGTTTCGCTGATTCGAGTTTAGAATTTAAGTTGAGATGTGATTTTATGTAAGAGTTTTTTACTGTAGCAAAAAAGTTAGATGTGACTGTTTGTGAGAGCTTTTTACTGTAACAAAACTCAAATTTTAAACTCAAATCAGCAAAATAAATGAGACCAAATTATACCTTATGAATTAATTTTAGGAAAAAAGAACTCAAACTAGTTGAAACTTTATTAAATATAAGAAAAGGAAGAAAAAGACAGCTGAATATGGTACATATCACTGTATAGACGTGAAATGTCATTGATGGAGGGAGAATATTAATGGTGTTTGGACAAAGATAAAAAGAAAGAGAGAGAAGAAGAGGGAAAAAGGAAAGGAAATATATCACTGTTATATATATATATATGCTAAGGGAATATTTGATTAATCGAAATAGCACATCCATTAAATTCATATCCCAAGAGGTGCTGTGAATACTATTTTACAAAGCACCCATGGAAGGTTAGATTCCTGTTAAAATTTTTGTGTTTTAAATGGTATCTCATCAATTATATTACGTCATATAATTTAATTGATTTAAAAAGAAAATTACTTTAAGTGAATTAAAAATAATTTTTAATTTTTAAATCACAAATATTATATAATGGGTTAGACTATACTAAATTTTCACAGAATATAATCAGAATATAATCAGACTGACTAAGGATGATCAAAATAACTGCCTAACCACAAAATTAAACTGCCCAAACCGACTGTGTGGTTTTTTCGTTTTGTAGTTTGGTTTACTGTTTAATCAGTACTTAACTACATGGTGTGATTTAGTTTGTGGTTTAAAAGTTTTAAAATCAACCAAATCACACTATATGTTTTCATTAATGTGATTTTTAAAATATTTCATTAAATGATTGTACACATGTTAATTTTTTGTCACTATTTTTTGCTAAGCAATTATTTCTGACTATTAATTAGTCTATTTTAGCCAATACTTTGTGTGATTTTTCCCTTATAAGATCATAAATCTTAGGCGCATATATCTTTTTTTTTTAAAAATATGACTTACACTAGCGAGTAAACTTTTTTATGGTTTTATTTTACAAAAAAATATGACTTACACTAGCGAGTAAACTTTTTTATGGTTTTATTTTACAATTATATGATGACTAATTTTTTTTAATATAAAAATTCTCATTAAGCGTAAATTTTTTTTTTTTTTTTTTGAAAACTTTCATTAAGCGTAAATTATTCAAACACTTGTGCTAAGTTAATTGTTTGGTCTAAATTTGTTAAGGTGTAAACCGCCAATTCGCATTGTACCACACTGCATAATGTTGGTGTGGTCAAATGCATTTCAACTTTTTCAACCACGTGTTAAAAAAAAAAAAAAAAATCAACCAGAAAGTAATTGAGAAATAACTGTCCAAACTACACCATTCTCACCCTTTGGATTGATAAAAAACTCCTCCAGGTCTATTTTGAAAAAGAGAAGAAAAAAAAGAGTCTCTTTTAGAAGTACAAGTATAAACAAGCCGCTGTTGAAAAGGGGAAAGAAAGGTCATAAAGCTAGAAGTTGCCAAACAAAATTTCTCCTGAAAAGCAATAATACAACATTGCTATTCCACTAGATACATACATTAATATTAATATATTAGGATGTGAGTCGAGTTTTTATTATAATATTTTTTCTCATAAAAATTTAAACTCAATAATTTCTATTATAATATTCGAAAAAAAAAGAAAGAAAGAGAGAAATATGTTAAAATTTGAGATGAATTAAAATTAATAGGCCGATAGTTTACATAAGTTAATAAATAGGTCAGATTACTGTTTTCGTCCATAACTTGACAAGTTATTGTTCATAATTGTCCATAACTTATCTGAATATGAATCATAACTTGACAAATTTTTTCATAACTTATCTGATTATGAATCATAACTTAACAAATTATGACCTATTAATTTCTATAACTAAAAATTAACCTATATACTTTCTTAAACTTTTCATATTGACCTATTTTCTACTATTTCTCTCCAAAAAAACATGCGCCTCTACCACGTATAATTCTTTTTTTCCCACTCCTGAACTCTTTTCAATTGAAGATAAAAAAAAACCCATGTCTCGTACAAATTACAGCATGTTATAGGCTTATAGCTGCGAAACGCCAGTGCGGCATGGTTATGGACTCACTATTATGAATATTATATATAT